TCGGCTTTTCGCCTCCGGAAACCACCCACACGCTGCTGCCGGGGCCGGAAAAAGCTTGGAGATGACAAAGAACCATCGGGTCCAAGCTCCGCCTCCAATCGTGCCAATGGTGTCCGGGGTGGCCACCGCATCTCCGGCAATGTCACGCCGCCCTCCCGCCGCACCTACCAAAGGCAAACAGGCTCGAAAGCCGACGCGGCGGCAGTGGCGTCGGCGCTTGCCGAGGCGGCCTCCATGAAAATGATGAAGTGCGCGGCGGTGCCTCGTCCAAAGCCTATGCCTCGCGCGGCAACTCCAGCTACCCCTACAGCGACTGCACCGGCGCGAGCGGTGGCCGCGACCGGCAACAAAAAACGCGACCGCCAAGTGCTCGATGAAATGCCAATAAAACCTCGCGATGGAGAAAGTTTAAGGCCGAGAAGCATAGGCTTGCACTTGAGGAGGAGAGGATTCGTGATGCGAAGAAGGCCGAAGAGCGTGCTATCATGTTCATGAATCCAAACACAATGGGTTAAACCGCAAGAAAGTATTGGGTACTCACTCGTGGAGAAATCTTGGCCTCTCTTCGGAATGTTGGTGGTGGCCGAGGGGGTGGTGGTGATGGTGGCTGAGGGGGTGGTCATGGTGGTGGTGATGATGGTGGTGGTGGTGATTGTGGCCAGGGTGGTGGTGATTGTGGCCAGGGTGGTGGTGATGGTGGAGAGGATGTCAAGGTTGATTTCTTTGCCGAGGACGTCGTTTGAGTGATTGTGGACGAGAGGATGATGGTGCATACTTTACTTCAACTTTTACTCCACTAATTTTTAGGGGATTAGTTAGAAATGCCCTAATATATGCATAAATGCAAGGCATTCGTCTGGAAAGGAACAAATCCTTATAGTGTGCATGCATGCACCCGCAAGCACACACATGAACGAAGAAGGCAAATGAAACTGGAAAGCTCTCACAGCAATAGTAACTTAGTAAGGAGTCAATTACAACACAGGTGTCTGAAGTTGGCGAGAAAAATCAGTTTAGTGTTAAAACTTGCGACATACATTGAACCGGTGATAAAACTTGGTTTTGATGTGCATCTACGATGCAAATCACATTTGTATACGCAAATGAAGCTGACAAGGCATGCCACATACCGGCGACCTTGACCTAAAATGCGGTCCATGCTAGCCATCCCTCCAAATTTGGCTTCATGTCTAACTGGGATAGACGAACTTAATTACCATATACGAGCACGAAAATCGGGCTTAAATGGGCAGCAGCAGCCGCGGACCATTTTTCACATGATATTTTTTATTCATAAATACTAATAAAATTCATATTTATTATTTTAATTTTAGATTTTTCTTTAAATTACGTGAACATTATTATAAATAATAATATGTCTCGTAAAGAGAATACACGAATGTTTTTTGTGAACACATTAATATAGCCTAAAACTAAATGAATATATTTTGAATACATTAATAATATTTTTATACTTAAAGACATTTATTATAATTCATAAATATTGTTTCAGTTATATGTTTTTAGATAACATGTGAATGTTTTTGGAATAAAATGAACATTCTTTTAAATAAGAACAATTTTTATAATTCCAAATATTTCTTTTAAACCGGGCATAACCCCTTTTCATTATTGTGACATAATGGAAATACATCAGTCCAGAGAAAGAGATAGGAGAGGGGAGAGCGGGTTCGGGCATCGTCGGGAAACCCACTGTAAACACTCGCCATCGAGATTACCCACTGCAGGACGAAAAACTTGGCGACACCATATATCAGTTTAACTAGGCACAACAGCCCCTACATCCACCATAAACGAGATGGGTTGCGGTGAACATTTGTATGAATATTATTATTAATTTAGATATTTTTACAGAATTCTAGGAAAGGAAGAAAAACTAACATCTGCAAATGGGCCGCGGTGACTGCTGCACACTTAAGCCTTATGTGCGTGTTCGTTTATACTCAGCCCATTTCCTAAAAAAACATTTATATTCATCCATTAAGGATACAAATCGTATTTGGACCGAGAGTGATGATACTTGGTGTCAGGGGCGGACCCAGCATTGGGCCAAGCCCAGGGCCCATGCTGTTACAGTTCCTCTACAGTGTCCCTACAGTGCGCGATTTCCTACAGTCAAC